GCTATATATCTTGCATACAGGTTAGATCTCTGAGAAGTTAAAAGCATGGTGGAAGGAGAGTACTCCTGAAATGGTCCTGTGACCTCCACATGGATGCTGTGAAACATATCCACACTCAAACACATGCATATGCAGAGTGTATATTCACACACAATAATAACAAAAATTAAAATTAAAAGAGGCTGGAGCTGAGTGTAGTGCCCCTCACCTTCAATCCCAGCACTTGGGAGGCAGAGGCAGGAGGCCTCTGTGAGTTCAGGGCCAGCCTGGTCTACAGAGAGATTTGCAGGACAGCCAGGACTACACAGAGAAACCCTGTCTCAACAACAAAAAACCCAAATAAACAAATGAACAGAGAAAGAGACATAAACAGAGAGGAGAGAGGAGAGAGAGACCATAGTGACAGCTCAGGGTTAAGAGCACTGGACGCAGCCAGGCATCATGGCACATGCCTTTAATCCCAACACTCAGGAAGTTGAGGCAGGCTGATCTCTGCAAGTTTGAGGCCAGCCTGGTCTACAGAGTGAGTTCCAGGACAGCCAGGGCTACACAGAGAAACGCTGTCTCCAAAATGAAAAAGACAAAACCCACCCAAGAACAATAAAAAGATTTTGTCTTGACTGCGTGTGTTCAGGTGCTAGCCTCCTGCAATGCCATGCAAACGCCACGTGCTCTTGGTTACTAGGGCTGGATCGTAATTTCTGGTTGGGCAATCTGTCTCCTATTTGGCCATAAGATGCCGGTGCCTTTCTTTGAAGCTTACATTTCCCATGGGTCTCTGTTTCCTGAGATCTCTGTAACAGTTCCCAGAAACATGTGGCTTTGACAATAAGAACTTGTGAGGCCTCCCCCCCCCCCCCAGCCCCCCCGTGAATCCCGTGAGACAGATGTGGTGGGTCAGGCTCCTAATCCCAGGATTTGGAAAGCTGAGGCGCAAGAATGTTGAATTTGGCGTGTGCTGCCACTGCTCGGCTAAAATCTATTTGTTGTTGTTTTTGGAGACAGGGTTTCTCTGTGTAGCCCTGGCTGTCTTGGACTTACTTTGTAGACCAGGCTGGCCTCTAACTCATAGAAACCTGCCTGCCTCTGCCTCCTAGAGTGCTGAGGTTACAGGAGTGTGCCACCATTCCCAGCTCCAAAATCTTTTCTTAAATGATTTACTTGTTTTTATTTTATGTGCATTAATGTTTTGCTTGCATGTGTCTGTGTCTGTGGGAGGGCGTCCCCACTGTGGCTGGAGTTCCGGACGGTTGTGAGCTGCCATGTGGGTGCTGGGACTTGAACCACAGCGAGGGCTGCACCTGGTGGTGCCTAACGTCTCTGCACTTGAGAGGCTGAGGCATAAAGATCACAGATTCAAGGCCAACCAGCTGACGGCTGGTCTGGATATTTAGTGAGACTTGTCTCTAAAAATAAAGGAAACAAAAATGAAAGGGCTGGGTATATAGCTTACTTTAGGATGTCTGCCTGAAATCTCCCAGCGAGGAGCTGGGGCACTCTGGGAAGCTCACTCAGAAGGTATTATCAGTGGTAGAGCCTTTACTTAGTCTACACAGGGCTGTGTAAAATCTCTATTAACACACACACACACACACACACACACACACACACACACACACACACA